AGCCAACCGCTCGGCAGGTGCCCGCCTGGACATCCGGGCTTGTGGCTTCTGGACGAGACAGCAAGATGCCTTTTTCGACATCCGGGTTACACACCCAAAGGCAAGCTTGCTGTCGCGTCAGGAAGTCATCAGCCAGCTCCGAACGCATGAACGGATGAAGAAGCGCCAGTACGGAGAGCGGGTGACAGCAGTTGACAGAGGTACGTTTACACCGCTAGTTTTTTCTACCTCGGGCATGATTGGCAGAGAATGTTCAATGGCACTGAAGACACTGGCATGCCTGATTGCTGAGAAGAACGTCGACCTACACGTATCGGTAATCATGGGTCAGCTCCGTTGTAAGCTGTCAGTCTGCCTTATGCGATGGGCAGTCACCTGTTTGCGTGGTTCAAGATCGTCATACCGCCGCAACAGGATGAATTTCACGACGATGTGCAGGTTGCGGGCAGCCTGAGCGTGATAGTACCTGACAGACATTTGCCCAACATTGCCCCATGATAATGAATTCTTGAGTTTTTGGACATTGTATTGCATTGCTGCTCCATCTACATGGCTGTATTTGTGTTTCACATCTCCATTTCAAGTTTCCTAATAAAGATTGTGTCAAGTAGTAGTAGTAGTAGTAGTAGTAGTAGTAGTAGTAGTAGTAGTAGTAGTAGTAGTAGTAGTAGTAGTAGTAGTAGTAGTAGTAGTAGTAGTAGTAGTAGTAGTAGTAGTAGTAGTAGTAGTAGTAGTAGTAGTAGTAGTAGTAGTAGTAGTAGTAGTAGTAGTAGTAGTAGTAGTAGTAGTAGTAGTAGTAGTAGTAGTAGTAGTAGTAGTAGTAGTAGTAGTAGTAGTAGTAGTAGTAGTAGTAGTAGTAGTAGTAGTAGTAGTAGTAGTAGTAGTAGTAGTAGTAGTAGTAGTAGTAGTAGTAGTAGTAGTAGTAGTAGTAGTAGTAGTAGTAGTAGTAGTAGTAGTAGTAGTAGTAGTAGTAGTAGTAGTAGTAGTAGTAGTAGTAGTAGTAGTAGTAGTAGTAGTAGTAGTAGTAGTAGTAGTAGTAGTAGTAGTAGTAGTAGTAGTAGTAGTAGTAGTAGTAGTAGTAGTAGTAGTAGTAGTAGTAGTAGTAGTAGTAGTAGTAGTAGTAGTAGTAGTAGTAGTAGTAGTAGTAGTAGTAGTAGTAGTAGTAGTAGTAGTAGTAGTAGTAGTAGTAGTAGTAGTAGTAGTAGTAGTAGTAGTAGTAGTAGTAGTAGTAGTAGTAGTAGTAGTAGTAGTAGTAGTAGTAGTAGTAGTAGTAGTAGTAGTAGTAGTAGTAGTAGTAGTAGTAGTAGTAGTAGTAGTAGTAGTAGTAGTAGTAGTAGTAGTAGTAGTAGTAGTAGTAGTAGTAGTAGTAGTAGTAGTAGTAGTAGTAGTAGTAGTAGTAGTAGTAGTAGTAGTAGTAGTAGTAGTAGTAGTAGTAGTAGTAGTAGTAGTAGTAGTAGTAGTAGTAGTAGTAGTAGAAGAAGAAGTAGTAGTAGTAGTAGTAGTAGTAGTAGTAGTAGTAGTAGTAGTAGTAGTAGTAGTAGTAGTAGTAGTAGTAGTAGTAGTAGTAGTAGTAGTAGTAGTAGTAGTAGTAGTAGTAGTAGTAAAAGAGAAAAGGACACATGGATACGAGTTAAGAGTAACTCTCCATCACTGTAACATGATACTATCCACAGTCAGAAAGTGCAATAACTAGGCACAAAACTGACAGAGTACTGAGACATTCGACGTCCTGACACCTAACTTCAACACATCTCCGTAGCGCTAACCGACAGCCTTCCAACTTGGAAGGTTCAAGGTTATGGAAAGACCAAAGAGGGGAAGGCAAGCGCAACGAAAACGAGCAAAAGCTATAGTCCCAACGGAACAAAGAATGTCGATTGTTACTGGACGATGACGAGACCAGTACGAAATTTGACAAAGCGGTCTAACTACAATTCGAAGCAGCAAAGCAGCACACAACCCAACTTTGGTCTTTCCATAACCTTGAACCTTCCAAGTTGGAAGGCTGTCGGTTAGCGCTACGTAGATGTGTTGAAGTTAGGTGTCAGGACGTCGAATGTCTCAGTACTCTGTCAGTTTTGTGCCTAGTTATTGCACTTTCTGACTGTGGATAGTATCATGTTACAGTGATGGAGAGTTACTCTTAACTCGTACCCATTATGTCCTTTTCTCTTTTACATTTATTTATGGCTCAACATCCGAGTTTCAAGTAGTAGCAGTATTAATTATTTGACTAGGGGAGTCCCCAACAGGCATGGCCTTGTTACAGGGAACCCTAGGTGCACCTCGTCGCGATAGCTCAGCAGCCTTAAGACAAGGTGCCACATTCAAGCACCACGGCTGAGGACTAGTCTAGTGTCGAGGGTGAACCAATAGTTCACAATCCCCAAGCGTGTCCAACTCCTCATCAGTCCCTGTACACTGTATGGAAGCCCGGTCGGCGGAATCGACCGATTGCCATTTGTACAGATCCACGAAATCCCGTAGAATTCCGTAGACCCGGTAGGGTGTTCATTGTGTGCTATGCATGCGCATTTGATCTTTTTAGCGTCATAATTCAATGACCAACAATCGCTTTTCCAGCTTCTTCACTTTGGTTAGAACTAATGACTAGCTAGATCTTTGTCAGAAAAAGGTTTTCGTATGAAATGCCTTCAGGCCCCATTTCTTAGTGGAAATAGCAGAAAACACAATAGGGTCCTGCACATTCAACACCCTACCGGGTCTACGGGATTCTACGGGATTTCTTGGATCTGAACAAATGGCATAAGGTCCATTCCTTCATTGCGTCATTTTTGGTGAAGTGCGACGAGTCATGCCGATGAATTCTTCTACAATTTGCAGTCAAACCGGGATGGTTCCCCAGGGTAAATTGCGTAAACTGCGTTTCTCATGTGAGTTCCCAAAATGACGTACACAGGTAGTGTGAAACACAGCGCGCGACCCTCTAAAAGACAAAACCATTTTTTTCCGATACCAATGCCCGCAACGGCGACTCTTCATCACCTTTTGCTTTCGCCAGTGCAGCGCAGCCAGTCCCTTCAAAAACTTTTTCCCGGGCCCTCGCCGCATATTTCTGTGCTTTCCTCGAAGATAATTTCAAATGATTGAGGGAAATGAGAATGCGTCTTGAGTTAGGAGTGGTTTCGGGTGTAGTTTCCAGAAATCGAAAGGAGCCCAAATTTACCTCTGATGACAAGTTGTGCATGACGAGATGTAGGAATTTTGTGGAGTTTTTTTTTTTTTTTAAATTCGACGAGGAGACAATAATTTTAATATGGCAATAAGTAGGACGAGCTGAAGCGACATGTGGACTACAGTCAACTTCGCCAATAACGACATTCGGCGGGGCATCAGAAAAGTGTCCTTATTCGCGAAGTGTCCTTATAACCGAAGTCCCATTTGAATGTATGTGAACCCATATTTTGTATAGTATGATATGCATATCAAAATCAAGCTCTTTTCTTGCTCTATGTCAATGTGTACTTTATTTTCATATTGCAGTTGAAAGGAACTAAAAATTCAATATGCAAGGGAAATCAATTGAAAAATATGCCTTTTTGAGCAATCTACAGGGCCAGAGACATGTACATGTATGATGATTACTGTACAATCATGTACAACTACATGTACATTGTATACATATAGGTGTGCTGGTAAATCCAACAATTTTGAAGCCAACATTAAAAAGGAAGAAAAAGCCCCCCCCCCCCCTGGCTGCATTTTCTTGCATGTGTGCAATAATATCCATCACCAGTGCACCATATGCATAGGTTCTGGTACTTCTGCATGACAGGTACATGTACTTGACTGACAGGTACTTGAAATAGCTGTCAAAAGCCCAGAAAGTCGTTATTCAAGCAGTGAATATGACCACGGGGCACTAAAAGCATGTCGCTATATGCGAATTGTCGTTATTCAGATAGTCGTTATATCCGAAGTTAAATGTATACAGTTAGATGGGACTTTGCTCTGGGCATGGAAATTCGGTCGTTATTCGCGAATTGTCGTTATATCCGCAGTCGTTATTAGCGAAGTTGACTGTACTTTATTAACAATGTAAGCGATAGAGACGATGCAAGAAACAACCTAAAGGGTAAGGAAAAATACATGTAAGAAGAACTCAATGGAAAAAAAAGATGATTCGAACAAGTTTTCGTACAACACTCTTCAGGAATCACCGTTGTACTAAAGAACAAAATGAGAAAAAACTTGTTCGAATCATCTTTTTTTTTCCATTGCCCTTTTTCTTCTTACATGTATTTTTTTTTTTTTTTACTTGAAACCACGCACCCAATTCGTAAAAGAAGAAAGAAGCAGGAAATGACAAAACAACAGACTAACAAGACATTGACTGAATGGGGCTGCAAATGCAACGCAGCGGTGGTGATGGGGTGCTGCAGGCTCCGCCGACCAATGGTCTCGGCATCCGCGCCTACTTCACGCATCAGAAAATCGTGTTGGGTGAATGCCAGTTGCACACTCTTGGCGGTTATGAACACTTTTGTAGAAAAAAAGAAACGAAAAAAAACTGTGCAGAAGGACAATCATCATTATCCGAGACCTAACCCCTTTTTGCAGTGGAGTTCGAACAGGACATCATAAAAATTAACGAAAAAAATTAAACGAGTCGCCTGCTTTGTTTCGCGCTCACACAAAGTCTCATTTAGGGTTCCCAGTAAAAAGGCAACATTGCCTGTTGGGAAATCCCTAACAAAATAAGAAAAAATAATAATAATAATAATAAAGGAACTTGTACGGTAGTTGTGCGGCTTCCCGTGACAAAGGACAAGGGTTCAGCATGAGTGGTCAAAGTTCAGTTCGAAGATCAGTAGCTTCAGTCCTAATTTGACACTCTCAAGAAGTCGAAGGCGAGCATTTACCGGGTACCGGTATTACCAAGAGTTTACTATTAAAAAGAGTTTACTATTAAAATTTTAGGAGCAGCGCAGAATTATTCAGGCTTTCAAAAAAACACTTGTCTTCTTTGAGCTGCTCACCTTGTCGTTGTGCGTGGTTATACCTCTGCGTGGCCGTACTGGCGCTTGCAGGATCGGAGCGTCTCTCGCAGCTTGCCGGTCGGGACTCTCGCCGAGTCGCCCCCGTTCAAGGTCTCAAGTTGACGGCCCGGAAACCAGCAAAATCAAACTTCTCGCACGGCTACTACATGGAGACGAATCTGCAGTCAATCAGCTTTGAACCACTAACAAAAAAAACAGCTGGGTCGTACACAAACGGCTTGGCGGACAGCGGAAAGTTTGAAACTGTCGAGCGCGATTTGAAAGAGCTCTTCCAGCTTCTTCAGCTGGGACTGGGAGTAGATAACTTACTACTTCTTCCTATCTTTACAAGCGCAGTCTCTTGTTGAAGCCCGGTCTCAGGGGCCGTTTACATGAGGAAAATAAGCCCGGGCTTATTCGCCTCGGGCTTATTTTTCAACCGTTTTCATGACGGTTGTACGGGGCTGAGCTCAGGTGAGTGACTGCGAGTTCTGCGCGCATTTTATTTTTCAAATCGCACATGAACGCAGTGGTAAATATTCGTGTTTGATGAAATTTGGATCAAGCAATGCCGGCTCAGGTTTCTACTGCCTTTCCAATTGTCACTTATTTTTCGAGAAGGTGAAGGATGGGCTAGGACCTTCCACTGGACAAAAACCAGAAGAAAACATACCAAGAAATAAATAAAAGAGACGCACTGTCCACGGCCACATTCTCTCAGGTTCACGAGGCAAAATCGAAAAATACGGAAAAACTCGCTTAAAAGCCCTTCTTGACCGTTTACATGACAAAATAAGCCCTGGGGGTTGGATAAGCTCGGGGGTCAAGGGTAGGGCTAGTTCAGCTCGGGGCGAGCTGAATAAGCCCGCCTGACCATGTAAACGCGCGCTCTAAAATGACTGGGTGACAGATCAAGGCGGGCTTATCGTACGCCTAGGGTTGAATAAGCCCGGGCTTATTTTTCTCATGTACAGTGTAAACGGCCCCTCACTCCAAGAGGGCTGCGAAGATATACAAGCGCAGTCTCCAATATAAGCGCACGGCTTATATTGGAGAACTGTATGGATCATGTCCATGCATGTTTGACATCACAAAGTGTCACATACCCACATGTTGTGGCACAATTCTGTGAAATTGAGGTAAAAAGAACAGACTCAGTGTACGAGGAAGTACAAAACTGCATTCTCTAGCAAAAGCCCATACCAGCCTCTGATATAAGCCCAGGGCCTGCTGTCCAGGCAGAGGATCACCATTATTTTCTTGTTTCCCTTTCGTTGTTCGGCTTCACTCGGCATGTTTTGTAGTTCAACGCGCAAATTGGTAAAATCTACATAGTTCACCCTGGCCAGGACGGGCCCGAGCGACCGAGGATGGTTGGTTGGATTTATTTTTCAAAGTCGTACAACAAACAGGCATGTCTGCCTCCTTATATGAAGACGACTTCTGGCAGTAAAACATTTTAAAGAAAAGAGAAATGATGTTCAGACCTTCAGCTACTAGCGAATTGCTCTCCTATTTTTATTTTTCTCCTCAGCTTCTTCTTCATAAGCTGTTGACGGAGACTCTCTCGATTTAGGCTAAGGCCTGTCTGTGGAGAATCCATAAATACAATACTGGCAATTAGGGGTGAAACAATTATACCGAATATTCGAATACTCGTTTGGATTTTTCGAATATAATCGTACTCGGAATAAATCAGAGTACTCGCTCATACATGGTACATACATCTACGACAGAAGTCTGCAGTTTCAGAGCAGCAGTCAGCAGATATTGACGTGCAGACTGTGTGGTGAACATTTGTACACGAGTACGTAAGAAGACCATAGGTCTGTGGGAAACACCCTAGTAAAATAAATAAAATAATAATAATAATAATATTATGGTCTCTGCTTGGATGACGACTACACCATAGCTCAGTGGTTAGAGCATCGCTGGCTACAAGCGAGGGTCCCTGGTTCGAGTCCTGGTGGTGGCAGTCGATTTTTTCTTCAGACTTTTCCCGTTTGTCTCTTTCCCTCAAAACCAGTTAAAATAATAATAATAATAATACATATCGAGTAGAGAGAGCCCAAATGACCCACCAACCAATACACCCGAGAAAGAACTGCCAATTGGTCAGGGTTGTATCATGTGATTTTTGAGGCGGTCGCCGGTGCGCGATTTTTAGGATATCAAGAATACTCGAATACTCGAATATTCGATCGGAGAAAATCAGAGCACTCGAACTCGGGATCTCAGTGCCAACTTTCACCCCTACTGGCAATCCAATACAGATTTTTTTTGTATACTATAGCGAGTGCGTCTTCGCGCTGATTGAAAATCATGTCAGGCATGCCACTGAGCAGGAAGTCGTACAAATCTTCTCTCGGTCGCAGAAAAACTATCCGCATCAGTACCAAAAGAGGTCATGGATATCGCTTCAGATCCGAGGAGCCACCTGGTCCGGACGCGCGCTCATACTAGAATTTTCCGTCCTAGCTCTGTTGCGGGTGACACTGTCAGCCAGTTAGGGCTTTCGCGACTCCCTGGTGCACACCTACAGTCCATTCATAAAAAGATGGGCTCTGGCTCTGGCGAGCTCCCGTATTTGGCGATTTTTCGTGATTTCATCGTACACAGTGCAGTGCTGCGAAATTTGAAATCACGTCGGGGTCACCAGTTTAGGGTTTTACGTCGGGCCCTAGACGACGGCTACTTTGGCCAACCGGACAACGAAGAAGAAGAATTAGTTGTGACCAAAGAGAATGATTTTATTTCTTGCGCATGCGTATGTAGAATGACGTAATACTCAGGGAGTGAGGTCGCTACAAGGGTACCTGAACTGGGGTTCGAACCGCACAATGCACTGTTGCAGACGGGGTCAAACGGCCTGGATTTTTATGGTTTTTTCCCAATTCAATGCTTTGGAGGCAAAACCTGGCCGAAATCCTATTCTTGTTATGGCTTGCTTTTTGGAGAAAAAAACTTCAGAAACATAATTGGAAGAGGATTCCATACAGGATTGTAGAAAAAAATTCTAAAAAAACTCAACGTTTGACCCATTTATGGCCAAAAGCTAGAAGTTCATTTTTTTCTGAATGGACTGTACAATTGTAGGGGACACACTATGCCAGATCTGTTAAAGGGGAAGTATACCCTGAAATCAATTTTTCACCAGTTGTAGTCTTCTGGGTGCTGAGTCGAATGGTCTTGGTCCGAGGAAGCTGCGACGCTCCCTTCCTTCTTTTTTCCCAATCGAACCCGCGCACTTCCACCGAAACTGGGTGACTGCGCCCTACTAGATGGGGATTTGTATGCAAAATCTCACTAAAAGTGGTATGTCGTTCTTATAAAAGCACGGATGACCGCGATTGGCCCATATGTTGTAGTCTTTTGGACGCTGAGTCGAATGGTTTTTGGTCCGAAAGGGCTGCGATGCAGCGTTCCTCCTTTATTCCCAATCGAACATGGTTGAACAAGCGGTCACGCGCTCCTGGGTGCCCAAATCACCTGGTCACCGCGCCAGCAGGCGACAACTTTCACACCAAGTTTCAACTCGAGTTCAACTCGAGTGACAGGACTGCACCCAAAAAAGGTCAAACAGGCTAGTAAGTTGTACCCTGCAGGTAGTGACTACACCCAATTTCCAAAACTTGCTCCGATCGCTTCGATTTTGGTCTCATTCGATTCTCCCAGGCGTAGTACATAGGAAATCTGAAAGTATTATTCGAATTGGCCCAGCCATTCTTGAGTTATAGTGATTTGAAGTGCGCCAAGTAATTAGTTGGACTTTTGCTGGAAACAGAAATGAATGGGAGCGATGGGAGAATCGAGAACGACCGCACAGTCCGTGCATGCAGTACATGTGGACGTGCCGCCGTCCACTTAAGAAATATCATTTAAATTTAACAAAGGGAGAGTTTTGGGACGGACTCTGCCTCCGTTACGGATGGACACCGGCCAGGGTACCGTCACACTGCTCTTGCGGCCAAGAGGCAACTGTCGCGCATTCCCTGTCGTGCCCCTATGGAGGGTTTCCCTCCATTAGACACAATGGTATTCGGGACGTCACGGCCCGGCTGCTGGACGAGGTGTGCACCAGTGTGTCCATCGAGCCCTTGCTGCAACCGCTGACGGGGGAGCGTCTTCGCTACCGGACCGCAAATGTGGAAGACCGTGCCCGGTTGGATGTCGCTGCCAATGGTTTGTGGGGCAGTCGTTTTGAGCGTACACTTATTGATATACATGTACGGGTTTTTAATCCTCACTCACGCTCAAATCGATCTGCACCACATACTATTGTGAATCAGCGACATGAAAAAGAAAAGAGAAGGCACTATGAGGAGCGGGTGAGGCAGGTTGAGCAAGCCTCCTTTGTTCCGGCGGTCATGTCAGCCAGTGGCGGAATGGGTCCAGCATCAACAGCACTGTACAAACGAATTGCTCATCTGTTGGCGGAGAAGAGGGGTGAGCATTACTCTCATGTTATGGCATTTGTTAGATGCAGGATTTCCTTCAGCCTTCTGAAATCCTGTATCATGTGCATTCGCGGTTGTAGGCGTTTAAATTTTGGTTTGAAATTTGCACCCTCCTGCGGAGCCCACGCTGCTTTGGCAGTGGCGGAGGCTCGCTTGCCGACGTAACCGTCGGAGATCATAATGAACAATGGACTGACTAATTATTCACTTGTCCTGTCTTTATAAATAACATGTTATTGCATATGTTCTTGGTTTAGTTTTTGGCCTTTTTCGTGCTTTGGAGTTGATAACATTTTCCTCACTATCGAAACTATACGTCGTACAGTGCACAGTGCACACGCCTCGTCACTCGAACTGCGCGTACGAAATTGCATACTTAGGTATGCTGGCGCAGAACAAATTCGCTCGTAGAGGAAGACGAAAGCGTCTCACCGCCTTGTAATTTCACATGGCCAGTAGTTTTTCGACGCTGGAGACGATGGAATAGTCCGCGACGCTGCGACCCGACCAGAACAACCCGAAATTCATACCCTGAAAAAGCGCTGAGCGCAGAGCTCCTAAATTTTGTCGTATGGAAAAGGGACTTCGGGTCTCAAGGGCACGAACATCTCCTCTCTCAGATAAAGCAAATCACTCGATGCGATATTCTACAATTTGACCTAGCCACGACGAAATGCACTGCCATGTCGGATTCTCCCATCGGAAGTATAGAAACTTGTTTCCCAAAAATCAGCGTCTGGGTGCGAGGGAGTAAAGTCACTACTGCAGGCACGG